TAACCTATACAAAAAAAATAAAAATCTGGCCGCTTGAAGGGTAGAAATGTGGTATCTACAGGATGTTAGGTAAATGGGTATATGAGCCGACACTAGCCCATGTTAACGAGGTCATATAAATGGTATGGTGAAGTCAGAAAATTGATATCTTCATTTTAATTATTTTATTTTTCATACAAATTGGATTTTATAAAATTAATTTTGTATGAAAATAAAAAAAAATAAAATGATGATATCAAATTTCTGACTTCACCATACCATTATATGACCATGTTATCATGGGCTAGTGTCGGCTCATATACCCATTTACCTAACACCCTGTATAGATGCTAGTCTAAATATATCGATTATTATAATTAAACATTATAGGCCAGTAGAATTACATTTTAAATCGGAAATAATTCCTACAAAAGATTTTATCGCTTGAATGGCTTCATTGGTTTGGTTGCCCATTAAGACTCTCCTAGGTTTTCGACTTCGACGGAGTTGTGCTTAAGTGGTGGGGGCCCCCGAAAGGGGCGCTTTTTAGGTTTTCCGGTTATATCGCGTAAAGGACTTACCCTATCGAAAAGTAGTCTGCCTGACGGTTGAAGGGCATTTGATCCTGCATTAAATAAGACCAAATTCATACGTTTTGGACAAACCGTTCTCATGCAAATGTTCGGCAAAGTGGGAAAAATCGTAACTCGTAAGCCTTGATAGGGTTACACTGGTTGAGGCGCTCCTTTTCAAGACTTGGAAGCCCGCGGGTAGCGAGCCATTGGACGTGGAGAGGGTTATACACATATTTTCTACTTTGCCGAACATTTGCACGAGAACGGTTTGTTCAAAACATATATATTTGGTCTTATTTAATGCAGGATTAAATGACCTTCAACCGTCAGGAAGACCACTTTTCGATAGGGTAAGTCCTTTACGCGGTATAACCGGAAAACCGAAAAAGCGCCCCTTTCGGGGGCCCCCACCACATAAGCACAACTCCGTCGAAGTCGAAAACCTAGGAGAGTCTTTATGGGCAACTAATGAAGCCATTAAAGCACTAAAATCTTTAGTAGGAATTGTTTCAGATTTAATTCATTTTTGTGTTTAATTCTACTGGCCTATTATAGAACATTCACGTTAAAAAGTTCGTAAAATACCTAACTACTTATTTTAATGATTTAACGTGATGAAATCGAGTTTTAGATTTTCAAGTGAAAGTAAAGAATAACCTAATGCGGTGTCGCAGTATAGTAACTTCGCAGAAAGGTTTTCGAATAAACAAAATTCGATGTAACGTTTGTCGCACTCACGTAGGTAACCCTAATGCGAGATATTTTACGCTCCTATCTAAACTAATCTTTTTTTATTTCGGTCAGACAGGCTTTGGAGCGCGGGGCCCCCAAATTCGCGGGGCCCGTAGCATTTGCTACTCTTGCTACGTGGCTAATCCGGCACTGCACCCTGTATAGCTTAATTAGAGTTAAAACCTAAATCCAAATACCGAGTCATATAGTTACATACTACATTATTTCAACAATAACAATTAGATAAAACATTTCTTTAAAAAAGTTCGTCTAATAGATAGTCATAAAATATACGGCATAGTTATCTTATCAGCAATGTTATGTCAACAATCTGCAGTGTAAACATTGTAAAACTGCGCCAAATTACTCTCAGTAGGGGAATAACTCGCTTCGGAGGCACGGGAGATCCCAAACGAACTTTTTTTTTTTAAATCTTTTTATTTGATAAAGGACTTTTATCTTACAAAGACATGCCAGTCCTATTGTACCTATCTACATTGTTATTCTGTGTTTTTAATATTATTACAATGTTAATGTTAGGGTCTACGACTGATTACCATACCACACAACATACTAGCCGACTCGGAAGTAGGTTCGCTCAGTATACTCTGAAAGATACCAACCCCAAGCCGGTCCAGCTGCAACGCTGACATAAGTATTCGCCGCTTACTCTCATTCCGGACACATTCCGTCAACAAATGTTGGACGTCATCAATTGTGCCATGTCCACAAAAGTCACAATTTGGTGAGCTAACTTTTTTCATGAGGTACCCAAATTTGTTCGAAGGATAGTGCCCGGATCTTAATCTATGTAATGTAACAATATCACCTCTATTTAATTTGGTGTTGCAACACCACGGGATTTGAAGAGGCTGACTTTGGATGGTCTTGTACCAGATACCTATACTTTTAGATCGTTCGTCAAAGTGCTTTATCCATTCAGTACGGCATAGTCTCCGGCAAGACTGAAGAACCTCCGTATAAAATAAGGAAATTTCGTATTCATTTCCGTTCGTCACAGCTAGTTTTGCCAATCTGTCGGCCTCTTCATTTCCATTTAAACCAATGTGTGATGGAACCCACTGAAGTCTAAGGCCAATGTCAGTATTATTGCAGTCATGAAGCTTTGCCAGTATTTGATAAGCTATCGGTACCCCTCTGAAACCAGAGGCGGTCCGAGCTATGTGTTGCAAAGCGCTTTTGCTATCGGTGAGAATTACATTCTGACTACTCTTAATCTTAATTGCATACAGAATCGCCTCATAAATGGCAACTAGTTCCAATGTCATTATAGACACATTTGCTGTAAATCTAAAAGACATCCTATGCTGTTGATTGGGACAAAAATAAGCAGCTCCCTTTCCCTCTTTTGAAATTGATCCATCTGTGTATATTTTCAGCCATGATCCATATTTATGATTTATTTCTCTGATAACCTCATATTTAATCGTACCTTTGTGTAGAGATTCCTTACAAACTTTAATGCATTCTAAATCAATTATTATAGTGTTTTGAATATTAATATTTGTTACCCAAATATCAAGTTGAAACATTTGAAGGGGATATGTTGAAAAAATATTGCTTTCTTTTGTATTATTAAAAGCAGTGATAAGTAAAGGTTTCTTTTTGTTAGCCCAGTAACTATCAAGACATAGTTCACTCAGTTCAGTTAATTGTTGTATGGATACACTGTTAGCCCAAGCACGAGCTTTGAGGCAGAATTTTAAGGAAAGGAAATGTCGTCTTATGCTCAGGGGTGGAATACATAATTCACTTTCCATTACATGGATGGGTGTACTTTTTATAAAACCGCCAATGATTCTTAGAGACTGGTTTTGAAGTTTGTCCAATTTTGCAATATTAGTCTTGGCACTGTTATCGTATAGAAAACATCCATAATCAAGTCTACTTCTAATTAGTGTGATATATAATGTTCTCAAATGTTTAGGATGAACTCCCCATCCAGATCCTGCCAAAACTTTTAAAATATTTAAAAACCTCTGTGCTTTTTCGTATGTTTCATTGATATGTTTTCTCCATTGTAAAGATCTATCCAGCCATATCCCTAAGTATTTCATACAATCCACTGATAAAATACGATGTTCCAAAATTCTTAAATTTAGTACCTGTTTTCTGTGTCCCCTGCTAAACAGACAATATTTTGTTTTACTTCGTGATATCTCTAAACCCAAATCCGCTAAAAGGGCTATCATAGAGTTTATACTGATTTGAATATTTGTTTCGCATTGAGTAATATTTTTATGTCTTGTGTAAAAAACAAAATCGTCTGCATATTGGCTAACCATTACATTTTTTATTTCTTGACAGATTTTAGAGGTCACAATATTGAACAGTAAAGGTGAGATTGGGTCTCCTTGGGCTAAACCTTTGCTAGTGTACCTTACTAAGTCACCTTCATCACTACTATTTATTTTTAAGCGTCTATTAGTTAAAAAATTCCAAAAATATTTACAGATTAAAGATCCAACTTTCAATTCATCTAAAATTTTGACAGCTCTATGAACCAAAATATTATTATAGGCATTATCTATATCTAGAAAGCAGGCTAATGTAGGCAAATTTTGAGAAAAGCCAATTTGTATGTAAGTAATAAGGCGTATTAGGGGATCGACACAAGACTGAGCTTTTCTAAAGCCAGTAGAATGTACGGGGATGATTTTATTCCTTTCTGCGTACCACTCCAAGCGTCTCACAATCATGGTGTGAAATATCTTACACATACAAGAAATAAGGGATATAGGCCTAAGTTTAGGTTCAGACATTTGATTATTAGGTTTGGGGATTGGTACAATAGTGATGTTTTGCCATTGGTTTGGGATCATACTTGTGCGAAAAATATCATTATAAAGGTTTATTAATATACTATGTCCAACCTCTGGCAAATTCTCAATCATAGAGTACGTCACACCATCTTCACCTGGGGCTGAATCTTTTTTCTTTTTGATACAATGTAAGAGTTCTTGCAAAGTGAAGTTCGATTCTAATAACATATTAGTCGATTCGAAGGTAGGAGAGCTTTCTATGACCGTATCAGGTGCTAGGGTACATAACAATTCTTCCAATTTTTTATGTGAAGGACTATGTTTAGATTTACGATTTCCCTTTATCCAGCGCATCTTTTGCCACACCTCTGTTATAGAGCTACTTCCATCTATTGAGGAACAAAACTTTTGCCATGATTCTGATTTAGCTTTTTTAATTAAATGTTTAGCTTCCGCTGTCTTGTTTTCTAAAATATTAAGATTTTGCGGGGTAGGGTTACGCCGAAAAAGCTTTAGAGCTAACCTACGCTGTGCTACTATATGTGATAGTTCCGGAGTCCAATAATTTTTAGGTTTAAATTTTTTCTGTGCATTAGTGTTAACTTTATAAAGGGGAATATTTTTCTCAACTGATTTATAAATTTGAGTTTGAAAAAAGTCGTATCTACTTTGAATAGTGTCAAAATTATCACTAGAAAACTCTGTTAAAGTTGAGTGTATGTCATCCTTGTATCCCTGCCAGTTGGCTTTTTTAAAGTTTCTCTTTTGTATAAAATTAGAAAGAGTTTCATCATATTCTATCGATAGTTTAATGATGAGATGGTCACTACCTAGATTTTCATTATAAGTTCGCCAGTTAAATTTAGATGCTATGTCGGACGACGTAAAGCTTATGTCTGGTGAAGACTCTTGCAATACTTGATTCACCAATTTAATCCTAGTGGATTGACCGTCATTCAGTGATATAAAACCATTTTCCAACGAAGATTCAAACACTTGAAAACCCCTAGAATCGTTTTTGTATGACCAATTAGAGTGATGCGCATTAAAGTCGCCAGCTATTATTGTTTTCTTTTTGAATACAGAAAAAAGGCTGTCCCAATCAGATGTAGATGTGCGAACTGATGAAGGACAATATATAGATACAACATTTTCGATGTTTTGACAGTTCAGAATTTTGACAGAGATAACTTCTATTCCAGAGTTACAAATACTAATAGGACTTAGTCGTGTCCGAACCGATTTATGTGTTAAAATAGCCACTCCTCCATAGCCATCAGCTCTATCCCTTCTATGTATGTTGTATTCACTAATATTTAGAGGCACTTCCTCTTCTAACCAAGTCTCACTGATAAGCGCAATATGAATTTTTTCGGAAGTCAAAAACGCATCAAGACAGCTTATTTTTGGCCTAAGACTTTGTGAGTTCCACTGTACAATATTAAAATTATGGTTATCCATAGAGATATTGCAATAACGGTTTTATACAATCAGTACTTAATATTAAGTTTAAAACATATTGCTTAAGTTCCTCAAAAAGTACTTTAAATAGTGAAATAATTTTTTCATCCAGCTCTGAATCACACGTGACAATTTCTCTAATTTTTCTTAATAGTGTTTTCAGTTCGAACCTCCTCTTTTTTTTATTTACTTGTGTTTGTTCATCGTCATCGTTTTTCTCCTCAGGTATATCTTCACTTTCATATCTTTCTTCTTCCATTTGTGAATGTTGGTTATCATTTTCTTTTGATATTCTTTTCATAAATTTAGTTTTACTCGTCTGTTTCATAGTCGGTTTTCGCTTTTCTTCCCTTCTAAAGAGTGTGGTTTCACTTTGACTAGTCGGTGAACTTGTATTATTAGAGCTAAATTCCTTAACGCGACTGGCCCAGGTAGGGACTGATGTTGTTGGTAGAATAACAGATTGACTATCACCATTATCTAAAGAGACATTCTTCTGATTACCAATTTCTTTGTCACTTAATACAAATTCCAATGCTTTTTTATAAGGTAGGTTTTGTTCACTCATTATATTGCGAATTTTTTTTTCTTTAAGGAAGACTGGGCATGTCTTGTCTAGAACAATGTGGTTTCCCTTGCAGTTCAGGCATTTTATTTCTTTTTTCTCGCAATTGATGTGATTATCTCCACATTTTGGACATTTGATTTTTTTCAAAGGACAAAATTTCACTAAGTGGCCAAACTTCCAGCAGCCGGAACATTGAGTCACCGGGAACACGTATCGTTCAACTTTGAATCTACAACCATAAGCATGTATGTATTCTGGTAATATAGGGTTTTTAAAACCAATACGAATCGTCTCACTATTTACCCATTTCCCTTGTGTATCCAAGCGTTTCAAACGATTTAATGAGATTATCTCAACAGTGCTCTCAAAGGTTTCCATCAGCTCTTTCTCGTCCATCTCAAGATCGACACCTTTAACAACTCCATAAGATATATTCAATTCAGATATTATGTGACACCTGCAACCCAGCTCAAGAAGTTTGGGACATTTCATAAGAATTTCAGCTTGGTTTTTATTTTTTAGTTGAATAAGCACTTTGTATGGGTTTTTGTACTTAATTCTGAGGATATTATCGATTCTTTCCGCTTTTAATATCTTAGCTAGTGCCATCTGTTTTGGTAATATTTGTAATGATGTAATACACACCTGGAATTCATCCCCGGAACTAGTACTGCTCCCATTGAACGGCTGACTAGACGAATTACTTCTATGTAAACGTTTCGGTCTTCTTCTTGTTACCGTAGTAAAATCTTCATCGTCACTTTCTCCACTTTCTTCCCGATTTCTCTTTTCAACAATAGCATCTATTTGCCGCTGAGATCGGTGAGATTCCGTCTCTAGGTTACTCCATTCAAAAATATCTTGCATTTCCCTTTCGCATTCTTCAACGACAGCAGAGTCACTCAAGTTATCAGCATTTCCATCTTCTAATCCGTCACTTTTTTCATTCATGATTAATGAGGGTATCTGCACAATTTACTAGTAACGAAGCGCGTAGGTTCGTAGTGACTAATACGCGTGCGCTTTATTTGCGTACCCATTATTATCAATACTTTACGTCATAGCAAACGAGCACCCGTATCTCAAAGCATTAAAGTTCAAAATAAATGTATAGTTAACGATGAAACAACGGTTGAAGTTACTATAAAACGAGAAGCAAACGCTGTAGTGCATCATTCAAAACAAAACACAGCGTTCGACTGTTCGAAAGAATTCGAAGTTTGAATTTAAACTTTTTAATCGTAAACATGAACTTCGCAAAGGTTTTCTTCTTCGTCTTCGCTCTGTTCCTGGCCATGAGCACTGTTTCTGCAGCGCCCAAGTGGAAGATTTTCAAGAAGCTTGTAAGTTATTCCTTTGCCTATTTTTATGTAAAAAAAAAACAATTTTTTTCTGAATTTAAAATTTAATTTTTGCAGTTCGAATGTTCAATGACTGTCACAAAACTGCTTAAAAATATTTTAACTCTGGAATATTGTGACAGGTCCTAGGATTGTAAAGATTTTTTACTTTTACATAACAAAAGACAACCTCTTTGGCCAAAAAATACATTTTATTATTTCGTATTTTTTAAAATAGCATTTTAATCAAGGCCTAATCGAAACATGTTGAGAGATGTATAAAGTCTAAGGCTGAGTTACACCAACATACTTTAACAGTAACTATAACAATTACCGGTGTTTTTGTATGGAGTTTGACGTTAAAGTAAGATGGTGCAACTCAAGCTTATCTATTCTTACACTCTACTAGATACAAGAACTTCTCTTGGTTATTTATCATTGGTTTTAACACTATTTCTTTTGTCTACAGGAGAAAGTCGGCAGAAACGTCAGGGATGGCATCATCAAGGCAGCACCAGCTGTCCAAACGATCGGACAAGCGGCCACCATCTACAGGGGCGGGAAATAAACTAAATTACAAACCTCCTTTCTCAATTACGTTGCAAAAAAATCTGAAATGACACTGGCAAGCAATAGTCATAAAACCTACGGACGCCATAACGAAAAAAAAATTGTTTTCGATTTGACAATAGAAAACAAAACACTGCGAAAACTATTCGAATGTTAACAACGTTTTAAAGGAGTTAGGTTCATAGTGTAATACTCAATAGTTAAATTAATTTATTGTAACTCATTAAGCTGCCATACAAAGAATCTGTACATAGTATTAATTATTAATAGGTTAAATAAATAAATGACTTAAGTATTAAAGTTAATTCTTTTATTTCCCTTACTTTTCTATATCTATGGTTTTACTTAAAGAAATTATAAAAACTTCGATAAAACTTCTTAAAAGATTTAGGGTTCAATTCTTGGATGGGACACATTTTTTTTAAATATTACGAGTAGTAATTATTCAATGTTATTAAAAACAACGTAAATAAACGTTATATGAAAAGACAGTAAGTACTTCAGAGGAAACGCGAGCCATAGGGTAATTCCAGGATACATGCCCCAGTGGGATAGGTGCCGCGATTTTAAGTACACTATGTTACAAGCAACTTAGCATAAAGTTATAGTATGTATAATAGAAAAGGACCTCCCCGTACCACTTTTCACCTCGCAAACCATCAAAGAGTGCGTTCGTTTAGCCAGTGAGAGCAAAAATCTTCCGCGGCCAAACTTTAGCGAGCGTCGAAATAAAATTGGTAAGTATCTTTTAATGGATAATTTTTTTGTCAGCTGTAAAATGAAGCAGATTTTTATATAATTTGATAGACTATCTTATAAATTAGACGGGATAGCTATGTTTAATTCGATTTTTAGTGTTATTATATTTTTTATTAAAAAAGGCACCTATCCTATGCTAAGAGGATAGTTGCCTAATTTTTTTTGGGTATAGATGCCCTTAGGGCCATGTCCTATGCTCCTAGGGGCATCTATCCTATCCTGCTNAGGCGCGGCGAATGCTCGCAGCGATCGCGAATCCATCACTGTGTCTCGCGAAACATCCGTACGCAGACACGTACCACTTTAACTGCAGATTTTTTAAATATAAGGTTTACGAACTCGTGAAGTTTTTACACCTCAGAATCTAATTAAGTCTGTGTGCGTCACCCCGATAACGGGGATCCAGTACCGGATTTCGATTGCTGCTCCCGGCTCACTCTCCATAATCAGGCTTACGGCGGAGGTGATTGCTGCATTTTTGTCATCGGACTACCCTACGATATCACAACTTCGTGACCCCAACTTCGTGTCATCGCTTCTCCACGGATAAAAGGGCAGTGGTTTTGATTGAGCTTAAGACTGGTGATTCTTCGCGTTGCAATTGTTTATCCACTCCCTGAAGAGTCGTAATTAAACCTTTTTGTTAAATTTAAAATTACTTTTTCATTTCTATAATTTTTATACCTCCCATCTAAAATGGCACGGTACAGCATCTATATTGTATCGAGTGTCGACGCGCTGCGTTTCTTTTCTAAATAAACCAGTCAGTCGCGGACCACCGTGTTCTGGGGGCACGGCAGTGCCCCCACCAAGTCGAGCAAAAAAACCATCCTTTTCTCGAAGCAATTCAGGCCATTTTCGACCCCCTGTAACTTCGTTGTGGATAAAACTAGAAGACTGAATTTTCAGTAACCATGCAGGCATTGTAAAGACACGGTATATTTAAAATTTCATTCAATTTTGTAGTGTACCTAAATGTGCACACTGGCTCACCGTCACACCAAGCATCTCACTGCGGCACGTCCGTACTCGCCGGCGTCTGCCGTACGACTGACTCGTCCCACTCGTAACGACGTCACGTGACTGCCTATCACTTGTGTACGTGAGACAGCGTATTGTATCTATCTAGTACGTAGATACAAACACTACATCACACACAATCAACTGAAACTAACGAGTACCGTACATACATAATATTGTCTTTGTATTTATAGGGTTTTTGTTTTTGTATTTTAATTACCCCTGTTTAATCTTACCCTCCTCCCCTTTTTACTGGTTGTTTCCCACCTTCCAACTAAGGGAAAAGGAGGAGGCTGAAAATCAGCGCGGAGTAGGGTATGCTTGACCTCGCATATGCTGAGCCTCATCCTTTTGCCTCTTATGTTTTTTAATGTAATTTTTTTGTTTATATTTCTATGTTTGTAAAGCATGTAAAAACGAGGCAATAAAGTATTATCTTATCTTATCTTATCTTACATCCTTTCCTTGTTAATAAATTTTAATGAAAGTTTTTGTCAAGTAAATGTAAGGTTAATTATTGTAATAGAAGTATGGAAAAGATCGCTATACAGCGATAACAACGACTGAATTGTACTCATACGTCTCACTCTCTTTTTTTTTTAATATCTATTATACATTACTTTAATAAACATCAAATTTCAGTTACGTTCAATTAATGCAAATAAGTTAATTTGAATTTAGTAAACAACAAGGCTACCTAACAGATCCGGGTTACATCCCATTTAAAGGATATCAGTTGCCTGAAAAAAAAAATTACATCCAATTTAGTGGATATCATGGGTACATCCAATTTAATGGACATCGTGGTACATCCAATTTAATGGATATGAGGATATCAGGGTACATCCAATTTAATGGATATCAGGGTACGTCCAATTTAATGGATATCAAGGGTACATCCAATTGAATGGATATCAGGGTACATCAAATTAAATGGATATCAGATATCAGGGTACGTCCAATTTAATGGATATCAGGGTACGTCCAATTTAATGGATATCAGGATACGTCCAATTTAATGGATATCAGGGTACGTCCAAATTAATGAATATCAGAGTGCATTTAATTAAATTGATATCAGGGGTACGTCTAGGGCATGCAATTCGGATATCCGGATATCCATATTATTCGGATATTCGCCACATTTATTATTCGAATAGCATCTATATAATTATTCGGTTTTTTCGAACAATACGAATACTTACGTCTTTCCTATTAAAAACTTGTAAAAATATCTAACCGCAAACTACTTAAGCAATGTTAATAGCTGACATAATTTATTTATTGGACATTTTATTATTGTAAAACTGTAATTGATGTAGCAAAACATGTGGACTTATTTTATAGCTGTAACAACTGTACACCGTGTTTTATGCAAATAAACAATTATTCTATTCTATTCTATTCTAATAATATCAGTGTATCCGATTTTATTTATTTACGTGACATTGGCGAAATCATGGTTCCCAAAACCAAGTCGCTGCCAAAATAAAAGAAGAAGAAAACGTGTTTATGTGTGCGTGTGTCAGTCGTACGTCACTTCTTTACCGTTGTTTTCACTAGATATTAACATTTCATAAATAAGTTACAATAAAATTATAAGTGTCTCAATAATAGCAATAAGTGGTGTTTTTATTGTGTTTAAAGGACAAGAGACAAGGTTAGTTACAGGTTATGCTGGATCTTTTTTTTTTTTTGTTTTGCAATTGGCAACGACACGATTTGTACATGTTGACATATGTTTTGAACGTTTTAATTAAGTAAATGTAACATTTTATCGTTAAGCATGTAAATAACACAGGTTTTCGTTAAGTAATTGCTGTGCTACACTAATTTTTACGCACGTACGACGGACCGGTAAAGTATACCTATGCGTTAAGGGTCAGAGGCTATTTGTTTGTGTGTGCACTAAAACATTGGCATTTATCTCCAAAACGGTTTGACTGATTTGGATACTATTTCTGTGAAGGGTTGTAATTCGCCTGCGATGTTTCATAGATAGATGTTACGATGGTACAAAGAAATTGCATTCTGCTTTGCTTGGCTGGGTTGGCTTTAGTCATTGTTTTGTTCACAGATTAAAGATGAATGAAAAGAATAAACCGGAGTTTAAAGAATATATCCGCTGTGCTGCAGATAAGTCTTCGGTCTGGCAACATTTTTTACGAACAACAGATGGTCATCAAGCTCAGTGCAAGATGTGCAAAAAAATATTTAAAACCTCTGGAACAACTTCGAGTCTGCATAATCATCTAAGACTTGTTCATTCTGTTCAGTTAGTTAAAAAAACGTCTAATCAACCACTTCCGTCAACGTCTCAACTTCAAACTGCTTCCACTTCTTTAACATCCAACTCCGATGCTACAACAACGCCGGCAGCAAAAAGGGAAAAAACAATAAATGACTTTTTTCATGTGAAAGACGAAGATGACTTTGATACGATGCTCGCAAAAATGACGGCAGTAGATGATGTACCATTTAAAATATTTTGTTCATCGGAAACAATGAGAAAGCTTTTTGTAAAAGCTGGTTACAAAGATTTACCGAATTCACCAAATACAATTAAGAAAAGAGTTTTGAATAAGAGTAAACTACTACAAAAAGAAGTAATAAAAGAGCTTGACGACATAAAGACTGCAGGCAAGAAGTTAGCGGTAAGCTTAGATGAATGGACAAGTGCACGCAATCGCAGCTAAGTAAACGTTAATGTGCATTCACCAGAGCTCTCCGAAGGTTTTAGAAACTTAGGATTGACAAAAATAAGCGGCCGTGGAACATCTGATAACTGTTACAATATATTAAAGGAAAAATTGGCATATTACGGCTTAAGCATAGATAACGATATCTCTTGCATGGTTTCCGATGGTGCTAGTGTTATGTGCGCACTAGGGAGTTTCCATCTTATCATCAGTTGTGTTTGGCCCATGGCATCCAGTGTGCTGTCCTAGACGTGCTTTATAAAGCGGAAAATTCAGCTGAAGGTAACACTAGTGTTGGTATTGGCAGATCTTCTTCAGAAGCAGACAGTAACTCTGAAGAAGATTCTGATATAGAGATTGAAAATGAAAATGGGTTTATAATTGATACTGACGACCGTGGAAGTATTCCCAAACCAGTCTACAAAGATTTAATAAATAAAGTGCGTAAAACAGTAAGATTTCTCAAATGCTCGCCTACACGAATGGATTTATTTAATTTATACCTAGAGACCAAATATAAAGACACCACATTGATTCTCGATTGCAAGACTCGTTGGAGCAGCCTAGCTGATATGGTTACAAGATTTTTGCAATTCAAAGACGCAATCCAAAAAACTTTAATTGATCTCAAAGAAAAAACTACTTTTTCTGATGCTGAAATTTTAGTATTGAATGATCTGTCTAGTTCTCTTAATATCATAAAGGCTACTGTTGAATTGATTTGCGAGCGTAAATCAAACTTATTATCAGCTGAAATAGCACTTCAATTTATGATGCAGAAGTTGGCATTGAAACCAGATAATTATAATCAGTAGCCAACTTATTGAAGCCCTAAATAGAAGAATTTTGCAGAGGAGAAACTCCACATTGATAAATACATTAAAATACTTACACGATCCAACAAAATATTACGAGGAAAGGGATACATATGCATTTCCAAAAGCATCTAATACAGAAATTATTGCCTTAGTAGTTAAAATTAATGAGAGGTATTTCTGCAAAGATAAAACTACTACACCAATTGAATTTGATTTTGAAGATAACCTGCCTTTGGGAGAAATACAAAGACAGCGGTTTGAAGATGAAAGAGCACAGGCGACGAAGACGTTTAAGGAACAGTTGATAACAAAAATTCATGAATCTCTGCAAGGTGCTGCTGAGGTATCAACCAAACATTTGGCCGATAACGATGACTTGGAAACGTCTGTTAGGGTGGAAATGGCGTTATTAGATCAAGGCGGTCCAAAAAGCATTCACCTACAGCGTGTTTATGATTTTCTACTAACAATTCCACCTACGAGTGTCGAAGCTGAACGTGTTTTTTCAGCGAATAGATTCTTTTGTAATCATTTGAGATGTTCAATGAATGATGATACGTTAGATTCAGTTTCTTACGTTCTTATTTTCTAAACACAAGAAAGTAATATTTTTCTTTTTTTATTTTCAAGTAGTTATTAAAGTTAGATGATTGTATTAAGCAAAAATTGTTCCTTATTAAAATTATTACAGACAAAAAAGTGTTTCTTTTAATTTACATTATATTGAAAAAAAACGGTATTCGAAAAAATCGTTTTATCCGAAGTATTCGGATACCATAAATTTTAGTATTCGAAATATTCGAATACCAATATCGAACGAATAATGCATACCCTAGGTACGTCCAATTTAATGGATATCATGGTACGTCCAATTTAATGGATATCAGGGTACATCCAAATTAATGAATATCAGAGTACATTTGATTAAATAGATATCAGGGGTACGTCCAATTTAATGAAAATCAGGGTACATACAATTTAATGGATATCGGGGGTACGTCCAATTTAATTGATATCATGTGTACATCAAATTTAATGGATATCAGTGTACATCAAATTTAATGGATATCAGTGAAACCTACCAAATCTATGTAAGACCACTTATGTGCCTGGAATTACGCAAATAAAGAAATTTGATTTGATTTGATCCAATTGAATGGATATCAGGGTACATCCAATTTAATAGATATCACGGGTACATCCAATTGAATGGATATCAGGGTACATTAAGTCCGCCACTGTACATATGCATTAGGGTGGAGCGAAAATTTTTTTTTCAGATAACTGTAATGTAATAGTCAAAATTTTGTGCCTTTAGGGCTTAAATGAAGTCATGCAAAATATTAATCAATTCGGTTTGGAGTAACTGCCTCCGCATCGACACTGAATTTATAAAAAAAGTTGGTTTTAGACCTCACTTAGGCGCCACATATCTGTGCAATATTTAAATAAAAATACTAATTTTTTTACCACAAATCATTTACTGATATGCTNAATCTTAAATAATAATACTTGGCTTGTTTGATTTCAAAAAGCATTTGATCCTTAGAATTCAAAAACTGTATTAACGAGTCATCTATCCCTGCATCAGGCATCTATCCTTTGAAGCAATCATACAGTGAGTCTTCTATCCCCCACATTAGGCGTCTATCCCACTTTTTAGAGGTCAATTAAAATGCTATTTACTCAGAATCGGTATAACTTAAACTAAAATAATTATAGTAATATCATAGACGAAAGACCAAAGTTTACAGATACTAAGATCAAATTGTTGATAAAAACTTACTGACTGAGTTACAGAGCTGTTTCAAAAAGTGGGGCATCTATCCTGGACTTACCCTACTGTAAAGTCTGATACCTTTGCTACCTTTATTGTTTACTAGTCAAATGCTTGGCGGAAAAAGTACTAAACAGATTTTGATGAAACAAAAAAGTTGACTGGAAGATAGTGATTAGTTTTTAAGCAATGTAAATTTTTAGGCAATGTATAAGTAATAATTTTAATAAAAGTAGTAATGATTCTGTTAATAAATATTCATTACAACAGCATTAAGCTCCCACTAGCTCCCACTAGGTGGACCGACGATCTGGTGAAGGTCGCGGGAGGTGCCTGGATGCAAGCGGCGCAGGACCGGTCTTTGTGGAGATCCTTGGGGGAGGCCTTTGTCCAGCAGTGGACGTCTTTCGGCTGAAACGAACGAACGAAAGAACGAACATGTCATTGTGTTTGTTTGTAACTTTTTCAAGCTTAAGGCTGAGTTGCACCATTAACTGTGACTTTAACCACACAAATCTTTTTAGGGACACATTGGCTAAATTTTGGTTCGACGGTTCATTAATTGCTTAGTGTAGATAGATCTTATCAGTTTTGTTACACATAAAATATGCGAATACCTGTAAATGGATGGTGTAGTTTCTTAAGCAGTTGTTATTTGTCTGTTATTGTTTCACTGTATGTTTTCCGAATAAATTATAATAATAAATAAAATAACCGGTGTTTTATAAGGCTGTGTTGCAACACCTTATTTTAAACGTGCCTATAACAGTGTTTTTGTATAGAGTTTGACAGACTTTTAGTGTTTGTTACAGTTAAAGTGCAACCCAGCCTTAATCACTGAAGTGTTTTGGTAAGTAAGTGACTCGAGTTTAGGGAAGGACACCTCGTTTCTTGTCACAACAAAACACTCTTGAAGAGGCTGAAACGGAGTAAAATTAAATATTGGTATAGGAAACCCATCTTGTCTGAAGTTTGAGATAGGTACGGATATTGATATTGGTTAGAAATAAGATTTTTTTGTGACAGACCAATTTCTGAGGTGGAAACTAGTTGAAACTGATAAGTAAATTAAAATAATTATTATTTAAGTTTTTTTATTTTTCTTAGGGTCCCGTACATATGGGTGGGTAACTATTACAGGTAACGACAGTTACCTACCAGCAGAACCATGCAATATGCATCTGCAAAGGATAAGACCTAGTGTGGGCAAGCCTCCCACTAGGTGGACCGACGATCTGGTGAAGGACGCGGGAGTTGCCTGGATGCGGGCTGCGCAGGACCGGTCTTTGTGGAAAACCTTGGGGAAGACCTTTGTCCAGCAGTGGACGTCATTTGGCTGAAACGATGACGACGATATAACAATAACCGGTGTTTTTGTATAGAGTTTGACAGATGTTTGACGTTTGTTAAAGTAAGATAAAGCAACACAAGTCCATCGCCATCAACAAATGAAGAAAAAGAAGAACTCATACTAAGTCCGATCCGAATTCGTCAAACTACGAATCTAAAAATTATCTAAAGAAATCGGATGACGGAAAACAGATCTATGCTAGATTTCTATTCGTTCGTTTGTTTCAGCCAAATGGCGTCCACTGTGCAGTGCTGGACAAAGGCCTCCTCCAAGGTTTTCCACAATGCACGGTCTGAATTCAATTTCTATATTATGAATAGATTTCTATATTCAATCCTAATCCAAATCCGTCCTTAACGGACAAATTTCAATATGTTTTTGGTCAAAATATACGGTTTTCGATGTTTTTACATTTTCATTGTTTATAAGACTACCTATTTCAACAATATTAAAGTGTTAACGTATACAAAAAATAAGGATATTTGATCGAAAACAGATTGGAAAGTTGCAATCCGGATTTGGACAAGGATTGATTATGGGAAACGGCCGCTAGTGCGTATACATTCTACCATACAAATATGTAGTTCTACGACTACAGTCTCTGGACCGTAATTTCACGGATTCGGTCACGTAGCGCGAAACCGCTCTTAGGCATTGTTCTTAGACCTGAGGGAAGGTCTGGGCTATAATAATATTAATTTATTATCAATTTGCTCTCACACAGGTGCTATAATGAAAAGAAATCGATTGAGCTATGATCTCGTAATTAAATTTTGGTTGATTTCATTGAGTTTCACTCTAAGATTCTAGAGCATATTTTTGTTGATTTGGTGTTGAGAACATTGTAGGAGGGCCCAGTTGTTGGAAGAAAAATATTTAAAATTCAATTCAGCGACTTGGCCCGTGGACCAAGCTAACAATGGGCCAAGTCACTGGAACAGAGGTAAAAGCGAGGTGAAGTGGTAAAAATACTGTTTATTTTGTTTGTAATAATTAATTTTGCTTTCTATCGCATAATATATTACTTAACTCATCCTTTAAATTAGGTACAAGAAATTAAGACAATATGTACTGCAATAAAATTTTCTGCTAGTCAATAGGTACCACTAAGATCGACATTATAACTATCAGAGGTGAAACAAAATAAATGGATTCAGTTTTAACTTAAATTATTTATTTATTAAACTTATAATACTATTTACAGATTCTTTATATGGCAGCTTTATTATAAAATATTTTTTTTTTATTTTGAACATACAATAAAATTTAACAATGATATTATCATAATTTCATTAAGCCTCTTTAACGGGTTTTTGTGTAGCCTCGGAAAATGTAAGTTGCCATTATCCACAATATCAATTCCATACTTAAACCAGTTTACATTTTAAAAATTACACAGTGTTTTATTTTGTCAGAAAAAAAGTGATGTCCCTATTCGATTTTTAAACTAGACGATGTTTGCTATGTGGTAAATTATTTACCACCTCTGTATATGGTAGCCGCTTCTCCCACTACTTGGATAGCTGGTTGTGCCTTCACGATGCCGTCTCGGATGTTCTGGCCAACTCGCTCCTGGAAAATAAAAAAAAATTATAAATAAGTTGTTTAATTGTAGCAGGAAGGCGCTGGATGCAGGCCGCTACCAACCGTGCTATGTGGAAGTCATTGGGGGAGGCTTATGTTCAGCAGTGGACGTCCTATGGCTGAAATGATGATGATGATGAAGTTGTTTAATCACGTCATTCATAGACTTCGTAGGTCTAACTAATCAGAGTTGGTTTATGGCTACCAAATAAAGGATAAATATACATAAATAGACTCTATTAATATCTAAGTTCAGGTATAAACGTAATAACATTCACTGTCACTTGCACCCTGTAGGATTTGAACCCAGTGGCGCTGTAATCCGACACGACAGCCGTCATTTAAAAGGACTACGAAGGACCAACCATTTTCTGTTTATATTAAGAATAATAAAAAATAATAAAATTATAATTGTATCGTTTTATCGAGCTGAGATGAGAATTTCTCCTTTAGTGGTGAAATTAAATATTATCTTACTAAATGAGAAATGAGAAAGTTTAGGTGTATAGATCATTATTTGTTGCTCTTTCACGCAGTAATAATGACACTTTACATTATTATGTTATCAGGTACCTATCAGAATAACTTATAGGTCATGTTTTAAAAACGATATTGAGTTAATTATAACGATACGCGTCAAGTAAAGTCAATATTTCTAAAGTAACTGAACTTCATGTGGGCTAAGCTGCGGTAAAAGTGAAATGTTATTATAAAACTATACATAATAAAGAAAATGTTATTAAAAAAACTTACAAGTTTCTTAAACGGGTTCCATCTTGGTTCAGGAGCAGCTGACACGGCGGCGAACGCCATGAAACAAGCGAAGATCGCGAAAAGAATTTTGGAGAAATTCATTTTTAAAATAAATTAATTCGATTTTCAAATTTGACGTTTACAACGCAAATGGCTGGAGATGACTGATGCTCTAAGTTCGCAGTCACTTGTTTTTATATGCGGTTGATAACAGTTAATTATAACTATTTGTTATGAACTTTAATGCTTACCAGATAAGAGTCATGCGTTTAAATATAGTTGGGAATCGGGGAGCTCCCTGGATTGGCGTGCGGTTTTGATATGAACATTTGTTTAGGGATAGGGTATTTTAGTAATTAACCGACATTATAAAATGTTGGTAATGTTTTTTGGGAAATAAGAAACAGGTGACCGTACTAAAATTACGGATTTTGATTAAGCCAATTGTTTTCCACGTTTTTAAAATACAAGTTTTTTTTATTTAAATTAGCCCGTAGCTTCAACGGCATACATTACACGGCTTGTATCTTTTTCGATCATTCAAGGTTACAATAAATCTTATTTATTACTATTTTCCTATGTATTTCTTACCAAAAGAACAAAGTAATATGTTTGGTCCCTGAATGACATTCATCATACTTCCTATTCCCAATTTTACGAATCATTTTCTTCCAAAGAGACAAATTTTTCGTAGATACCAAGACAAAACAAAGAAAGAATGTTTGAAATGAATCTGAAATGAAAGGGTATGCAGAGTGAATTTGACAAGTTCTTATTGATTTCGCGCCAATGGACTATGGTAAGTTAATAAAATATAAATAAAGCTGTCCACACAAAGAGCGCTATTTCAGAAATACATAATATACCGAATCGCAAATTTCAACAGACATAGTGTAAGGTTTATCTATCAAAATCTACCATATCATTTTCAACGTATGAAGTCTATAAAGCATTAAAAAGACTTGATCGTAACAAGGGTGCTGGAGCTGATGGACTACCGGCATTGTTTGTGGTCAATTGTGCTGACTCTCTAGCATATCCTCTGAGCATTATAATAAATAGATCACTAAAAGATGGCATTTTTTCCAATGGCTTGGAAACAATCTCTAATATTACCACTGCACAAGTCAGGTGACAATAGCTCGGTCAGGAACTATAGGCCCATTTCTATTATTCCAGTGTTTGCTAAAATTATTGAATCCCTCTTGTATCCTGTGATCACACATCAATTCAAGCAAATAATTGTATCCGAACAGCATGGCTTCGTCAAGGCGCGGTCAACCACGACTAATCTGGTATCTTTTGTCGAAGATCTAATTCAGGCTATGGACCGCGGTGAAACTGTGGACGCCCTGTATACTGATTTCAGCAAAGCGTTCGACAAGGTGAACCATGAGATGCTATTGCACAAATTGGAGAGTATTGGAGTGTCCGGATCACTCTTGAGTTGGTGTCGGTCATACCTAGCGAATAGAACATCTGTCGTTGTTGTGAGTGGCTATTCATCGTCTCCATTTTCTGTACCTTCAGGCGTTCCTCAAGGTTCCCATTTGGGTCCCTTACTGTTCAATATCTATATCAACGACATAGCTGGGTATCTTGTTGGCTCCAAACATTATCTCTTTGCCGATGACTTGAAGCTCTTCCGCTCCATTCGCACACCTGCTGATTCAGCGCTACTACAAAATGACCTGAACAACTTGAATTCATGGTGCTCTAGAAACGGCATGTGCTTAAACGTCGATAAGTGCTTTGTTGTTAGGTTTACCAGGAAGAAGAAGCTAACCCCCACTGCATATTTCCTCAATGGGAATCAGCTGTCGGAAGTGGAGCATGCGCGTGACCTAGGTGTTATTCTCGATAACAAATTACGCTTCCATAAGCACATAGAGAATATTGTGAATGCGAGTTTCAGGATGCTTGGTTTTGTCCTGAGAAATTGCAAAGAATTTAGAAATCCATCCACAAAAATAGCTATTTATTCAGCCCTGGTACGAAGTAAGCTAGAATACTGTAGCATCGTATGGAACCCCTACTATGACGTGTATCGGAAAAATATAGAAAGAGTTCAAAAGCGCTTCCTTTGGCATTTATCATACAGCTGTAACATGGCTAAAAAGCTCCCAAGCTACTCCGACAGGTTAAAGCATTTTAAGCTTCAGTCTTTGGAAGATCGAAGAAATCTGATGGATCACTTGTTTCTCCATAAGCTGGTTAATGGTGTCCTTGATGCGCCTAACCTTCTGTCGCAGATCAATATTCGTGCTCCCTCGCGTGGTATTCGTCTAGCTTCTTACATGCCCTTCGTTCAGAGAAATTCATCTTCGCGTCAGGGACTCCAGGCACCACTTAATAGGCTAGTGACTAATTATAATAAAGTACACAAACATGTCACAAACAACATGGGTTCGCTCAGTGACTCATCAAGCGAACTGATTAATGTGGATATATTTTCAAGCAATATATCAAAATTCCGTAAAGGACTAATTTTGCTGCCTTGATTGTCTTTTCTAATTTATATATTTAACGCACTATAGTATGATCATAATTTAATTTCATAAAAGTATTTTTTTTTGCAAAATTATTGTAAAATTACTAATTTATTGTTATTTAACTTATTTCAATTTAAAATTTACTAATGTTCTGTGCTACGTTAATTCAATTTCTTTTGTGTAACGCCTATAATTAAGATAGCACTTAACCTATTATATAAGCATGTATAATATTGTCTAAAATGGTGTATGTCTTGTTGGTGTTAATAAATAAATAAATAAATAAATAAATAAATAAATAAAATAATACCTAAATCCCAAATTTGATCATTTTTGAAGCAAGGGTTCAATGAGTGCCAATTTATGGGTTAAAGAAGAAGATGGCAGATGGCTGGATGAAAAAGTTCATCGTGCTTTATGACACTTCTTGAAGGCTTAATACGTACAATAGTCGTAGACTGCCATTGAAATAATGATGATACTAACTTGAAAAAATCGATTTGCTTAAGAGAAGGGAAGAAGGGAATAGAACCTATGCCTATGGCGCATCGCTTGCTGGGTGACTGCTCTTCTATTTTGAATCAGAAATTGGGTGAATCCGTCTAATTACATGTTACGGCCAGCGTTGATGATGATGATGGTTTAGAAATATTTATTTGCAATATTGTTTGGCAGTTTCTATGGGCGCAAACAAGATTGAACTGTCTAGATGTCTAGTCTAGCTCGGGCAGTTCATTCAACTCTTTTGCATAGCATAGATAATCTCCTCAATAGTTTTGAAACTTTTTATAGTTATACAAAAAAGATTAACGCTATTGCAGCCAGTTTTTACAATAAACATTAAATTAAACAATGTATAACCTTAAATTAAACATATTGCATGTTGAAGCAAGTTTAAGGCTGGGTTGCACCATCTTACTTTGAGTGTCATAAACGTCAAAAATCCATACAAAAACACCGTTTAGTGTCAAAGATACGGTCAAAGATTGGTGGTGCAACTCAGCCTAAAATGACCATACTAAAATGATTGACGAACTTTTTACCTTTTTAATTTAGGGGGTTTTTATCTTATTTCCTAAACGATATTTAACTTCTAAAAGAATCTAAAAGAGGTAGCTAATCTAAATTCCTGTTTACGTTTTGACAACCTGTCACTTACATTTCGTTAACCCTTGAGACTCAGGAAATTGAGTTAAAAGAAAAAAGGAAGAAAAGCTAATATACTTTTTATATTTTTTGCTTTCAATCTTACGCCCGTATTCACGAACAGAACTATGAGATCTTATTGCAGTGCTTGTAGATGCACGGGTGACACACGAACCAATCACAGAGCTCTATTCAACGCTATGCGTTCGATTTGCTGCTTCAAGCAAGCATCGTTTGTGAATACGAGCGTAAATCCCCACTGCAGGTACATGATTCTATATTTAATAATGTTATTCTAATATCAAAAGATATTATTTTTCCCTTTAAAGTCTCTTCAAGGTCTAGAGTGAATAGATAGGCATTTAGGAAGATAAAATGAAACCCTAGACACACTGACATCACATTCTCACTTAACGAAAAGTGTGATTGCGGTCAAACACCTTCCTACCTCGCATAAATATTTATAACTTTGTACATTTTAAAGCATGTAAACCTTTGAAAAAGAGGCTGACAATAGTGACTGAGTTTCTTGCGCTGCTTCTTCTCAGCACTGGCCCATTTATTGACCTGAAGCAGTGGTAGGGTTAATACTGGGACGTGTAAAAGTGCTTTTTTAAGCCTATTTACAGAAATAAATGAGTTTTAATGAGTTTTTTACCTTGTTTTGCATGAAAAACACAGTAAAAAAACCATTAAACACGGGTGGTATACGACTGTAAACATTACCCTCCTTTTTATCTCGGGAGAAAGGAAATGGGGTTTCCCATCTTCCGAAAGACTCATCGCTTACGGTTAGACACCTCTAACTTTACTTTCTCACGCACGCACGATCCCGGGGGTTCCCTTAAACCACACACAAAACTTCACTCTTATTTTAATACCGATAGAGTTTAAAATAAACAGTTAAACAGTTATCAATGAAGCGTATATAAGCGGGTTACTTCAAACTTAGCGTCAGTTAACTTCTAACTGTTGTTTGAACGTGAAGAAAGAAAGAAATAAGAAAAAACTCAAAAAATGAACTTCTCCAAAATTTTGTTCGCTGTGTTCGCTATCTTCATGGCTTTTGCCGCGGTATCCGCTGCACCCAACCCTAGATGGAACCCTTTTAAGAAACTGGTAAGTTATTTAACCTCTTATTAATGTAATTATACTAATAGGTTTAGGCAACACAATAGAATTAGAAAAAAAAAATAGGTTAAGTATTTAGAATCCTATTTTTTATGTTTCAGATAAGTAAAGATCATTTTGAACTTGTCATGTCCCAAAGGGTTAAATAATTTTAATTTTACATATCACTAAAAAGTTCTCAGGCAGTATTTTTTAGAGGATTTTCCTGAAAATGTACATAAGCATGCACAGTGCCAAATGTACAGTCGCGGAATGAAAAGGTTCGTCACCTTAGTGTCGGTTTTCGCTTGCACTAGGTACTGTAAGAGTCAAACCTGCCAACATAACCGTGCAAGAAACAGTGCTGCTAACATTTAAATAAATATGACGTTTGCTGACGAATAAGGTTTTGCTTGTTTATTTTTCTATCCCATCAGTGCAATGTTACAAAATTTAGTTTTTTTTATTTAATAGATAATGGCAGGTTGAACCAACAAGAAGGTTGTAGTTTATCAATCATAATAATCTTCTTGACAAGTTAAATCGTCAAACAACTTTGATCTGAATAATTTTGAACTTTACTGACGAACAGTTAAAGATTATTTTCTCTAATTCGAGATTATTCTGTAACATAGTTTCAAAAGGTAATATTATGTGCTCGCGATTCGTTGAAGGAATCAATTTGAAAACTGACGAACCTTTTCATTCCGTGACTGTACCTTGCCGTAATGTCGCCTCTAATTTCTTTTTTTATAGCTAAATTAAATTGAATGTTTTTAGCCGCGGTAGCTCGCGTACAATACCACTGCTGCGGTTTGAGTAGTAAAATGAATACGAGCTTTAAAATCCTTTAAAAGTGTAGTTAAGTAAATATTTTATAGCATCTACTATCAATATATTCAGCGCAAGTCCTGTTCAAGTTAGTTAAAAGTATGATAAGTGAATAGGCACTTACAGGGCAGATATGTACCATCCTAGACTGCATCTCACTTAACACCAGGTGCGATTGCGGTCAAATACCTGCCTTGTCTAGCATAAAAAAAAGATACAAAAACAACTAATTTATTTACTTCTTTTCCCAGGAGCGTGTGGGCCAGAACATCCGTGATGGAATCATCAAAGCAGCCCCAGCTGTTGCTGTAGTGGGCCAAGCTGCCACCATATACAAGGGCGGGAAATAAATAACTACATCATCATCATCGTCATCATCATCATCATCTGTGACGCCAAAAGATGTCTATAATCTGCTGGGATATGACTTCATGTGGACAGCATCTTTACTAACTTTTGTATAATAATTTTGTACCAAAAATGTATGTAAAGTTATGAAACGTGACGTGGACAAATGCTCTCTGCTAGAACTACATGATTAAGGACAAAGCACACATAACAATCTAAATAGGGATCGTAACCGTATCAACTCGAGGTGGTCAGTATTCTTTGTATGAAACTTCATACTGCAACGCATAGTTATCCGCACCGTACGTAAACGCCTCGCCTCGCGGTTGACAGCGGAAGGCGATGACAGTTCGCTAAAGGCGATGCGGTGGTGATCCCTTTCCAAGTTGACAAGTTTGCTATGACCTTTAGAATCATCGAAAATTATCCCAAATTATGTCCACTGCTGATCAGAATTCTGTCCAAAACATAGAAATATTTTATTATTTATTCGTATTGTGTATTAACAACGACTGATACTAATTTAAATGTGAATAACAATAATTAAAATTAAGTTTTTATAATAAATAAGTGTTCTAAACCATATTTTGTACTTATTTCATGAAAAATCCCCCTGAAAACTTTAATACACTTGTAAAAGGTAATAAAGGCAAGCTTTAGACCTCAAAGTATACACTTCCAGTCAACCTAGAGCTACTGAAAAATAAGTATACTAAATTGCCAGTTATTATTAAAAAAATCATAGGTAGGTATCCAATCCAATATCCATTTACTCTAAGAACTTTTAATGTAGGTAAGCAATAAGCATCAAACCTACGACTTAGCCTAGGCGCAGACCACCGACTTTTGGTTGGCCAATAGTTGGGCCCGATTCTAATTTGTATGAAGAATCGGCCGATATCAAATCGGTGTAATGTGCGCACTTTCATACATCTCCATACTGATCAACAGCCCGACCCAACTATCGGCCAACTAAAATGGGTGGTCTGCGTCTAGGCTTATCCTATAGTCAAAATTACCATTCTGGGATTGGGTAGTCAATGCGAAAAAACGCTCAACGGTTGGAATGTGCCGGTGTCAAAATGTCCATACGGATCGGCTGTTAGTGTGGCAAAAAGTATGAACGTCAAAAAGTCCCAGTGTCAAAATGTACATTATTACCATGGTTACAATGGTTTAGTGACAAATGGTACACATCACAAAATACAAGTACAACAAAAGGTGTGATAGATAAAATGATCAACTGATATATTGTGCTCATGATTAAATTAATAAAATTAAATGTCAAAATGTTCAATGTTCTTGTAGTCCAGTCAATAGAGATTTTTTGGTCAGATCATTTTAACCATTGCTCATTTCGACGTTCATACTTTTTTCCACACTAACAGCCGGTCCGTATGGACATTTTGACACCTGCACATTCCAACCGTTGAGCGTTTTTTCGCATTGACTACCCACTCCCAGAATGAAAATTACCAAGTAACAAAACACTTCGTCCTTTGTCAAATGGTCGGATATCGTCAAGCATAGCAAAGTCTACTTTGCAATACCATTATCCTATGAAAGCAAAACCAGGCTATCACTTAGGCAAATCTTGCCCTAGCCTAGGTCTAAGGGCCCTCGCCCACTGCGACTTTTTTTAGGCGACAGCATCGCTACTAATGCGCGTTAGTCGCATTTGCAACGCACTACAGAAGTGATGCCAACGCGCTACTAACGCGCTACAGCAGCGCAACTGCATCGCTACAAAAAGTCGCCGTGGGTGAGGGCCCTAACTAAACTAGCCATAGAGCCATGGAGTCATAGAGGTGAGGTTGATAGTGATGGAGAAGACGTACATTTATTTATTCAAACTTTTGCACATGAAATTAATGTACAGAGGTGGACTTAATGCCAGGTGACTGGTAGATAATGCCAGTCAACCACATTTTTACAAGTTCCGATAAAAACTGCCTTTATCAGAAAGAGCTATTTCGGTGTTTCTTTACGAGATCGAATCAGAAATGAGGAGATCAGTAACTAAAGTCGCTGACATAGCCCGATGGATTAGTAAGTTGAAGTGGCAATGGACAGGGCACATAGGTAGTATGCAAAACTGACGGCTAATGGGGCAGAAGGATCTGGAGTGGAGGCCACCACGTACCGGAAAACGCAGCGTGGGACGTCCATCCATAAGGTGGACCGACGACCTGATTATTTTATTGCATATATTAAATGATGACATTATTAAACCAAAGACTAGTATTTTACTTAAAAAATGCACATGAATATGGTCATGGTCACTTATTTGCGAGAAGGTTATCCATCAATAACTACTCCTTATGCACGATCGAAGAATATAGGTCGTCAATAATGACGTCACTGACGCGGCGGTGCGGCCATTATGCCTATGACGTCATCGGTATTCTAACTCTTTGAGATGGTAATTTTTCAGTCTGCGACACAATGTCTGATTTTGCATAGAATGCTATTTTTAGAATTTTATTATCGTTTTATGGTTTTTCAGTTGAAAAACATTTATTTTTTCCTCCTAATAAAAATATTTTTTATTTGAAATAAAACTATTTTCTTTTTCAGCATTTCAACTACAGTGTAGCCACAGGTTCTAACAGCTTTATAGCCTATTACAATTAATGTGTTCTTTTTAGGCCTTTTTAGGGCACCTAAACAGATCCAAAATATAGCTATGGTTGGGTTTTTATTGGCTTTCAAGATGTAGATCCAGGCTACACAGGAGTTGCAGCGGTGGGTACGAGAGGTAGGAATAGTCCCGTTTCCTCTAACTATTATCAGAGTAAATACAAATGAGTAGTAGACAAAATTCGGCGCAACTCCCCGCTAATCCACGCTAAGTTTTGTCAGCGTGTGCGTGCGCGCCGCATACGTATTGGCGCGCTCACATACAAACCGCACTCGGTGCGTTTCTATGAAGAAAACCTACTCATTTGTATTTGCTCTGGTAGGTACCTCTGTCTCGTTAGTGTCAATTTAATTAAAAAATAAAATCAAGACTTTTGTTTTCATGTTTTTATTACAAACAAAATACGGAATAATAAATGCATGACAATGTTCGCTTTATCTTACAAAAGAAGACTAAATCATTTTTATATTACAATTTATACAATATTTTGGCATCAGTGGTAACTCCTACGTACTGCTTAGGGTAAATGGTTCCCTAATCATCATCATCATCATCGCCCCCTTTGAAAATTTTCTGGGCTTCCAAGATGGTGTCCACGGCTGGGCGAGCGCTGATGATGCTGTCACGCACTCTCTGGCCTATTCCTTCCTGAAAAAGGAAACAAAATTAATTAGTAATAATTCCAGACCGTACCGGAAAACGCAGCGTGGGACGTCCACTCACAAGGTGGACCGACGACATTTTATAGTTAGCAGGAAGGCGCTGGACGCAGGCCGCTACCAACCGGGCAACATGGAAAGCATTGGGCGATGCCTATGTTTAGCAGAGCACGTCCTATGGCTGAGATGATGATGATGATGAATCCCAGACTGATTTCAGCTAGGTACATCATCATCATAATCATCATTTCAGCCACAGGACGTCCACTGCTGAACATAGGCCTCGCCCAATGCTTTCCATAATGACCAGTTGGTAGCGGCCTGCATCCAGCGCCTTCATGCTACCTTTATGAGCTACCATTCCTATTCAATTCTACAATTTCCTGACTGATACAGCTAATGGACATCTGATGTTATTATTTGTGATAGCCGCCATCATGGGTAATGTGTAATAATGTCGGATGCCTTTTTAATTATTATTAAAGGATACGGTAGAACTTTATTATTGCACTTAGGTAAGGAAATGTAGAGCTACGAATATTATTCGATATTATGCGTTACACAAATGATAGTAGGATTATTAGTTTTAGTTTTATTCGTATATTTTCAAGTCTTATAGCTTTTTCAAATGCCGTACATTATTTAAATTAAATGACTCATAATAAAGGATTTACGTAGATATATTACGCATCACAGCTTCACTTCACTGAAGTTTTGAAATAAACATAGAACCTCCTCCTTTTTTTGAAGTCAGTTAAAAATTTTGTCACTTCCATATATCTAGGTAAAAAAAACCTGTGTGAGATGAAACGATTAAATTGTCTGCAATTTTCCTCAAAAAATTACTCCCCGCGTCTTTATTTTCCCTGGTAGGAAATACACCCCATTTTTTAAATTGGATGGACTTGCAAGATTACAATCTCACCTGAGGGTAGCAGATTGTGATCTATGACAGAGCGAGTCACAAAGTTATATGACCTATTTAGCGTTTATACTATAGCTCTAGGACTATAAGGCTGAATAAAATTAGCAAAGAAATCCTAATTTATTTTTGTTGCTTCCACATTTCAAATAATAGTGTACTTTCCTTAATATAAGTTAACCTAAAGAATTAACCTAAATATTTTGTCTTTTTAAAGGCATTCCCGGTTGGTAGCGGCCTGCGTCCAGCGCCTTCCTGCTACCTTTACGATGTCGTTGGTCCACTTTGTGCATATATTGCACATGGAAAGCATTGGGGAGGCCTATGTTCGGGTTTCAACATAGACGTCGTGTGGCAGAGATGACGATGATGATGAAAGGCAAATCCCCTTAGTTTTTGCGCAGAAACTTGTTTTGTTTATTTAATTAAACTAAAGTGATAGTGATTAATATCAAGCCTTTCGTTTATCTTTCAAATAATACTGTTATACCTTTAGGACTTCTAACAGCTAGGGACTGATATTCGCTGCCTGCTACTGTCTTTCCTGAACACTAATCCGGGCCTTTTCAAGGCGAGAGTAAATAAGCACTTACAGGGCAGATCATATTATTATTATGTACCATGTATGAAACTGAATCTCACTAAACACCAGGTGCGATTGCGGTCAAATACGGGTGGTACCTATTTGTCTACTATATAAAAATAAGTCGGGTTTTCCTCCCTGACGCTATAACTCCAGAACGCACGAACTGATTTCCACGGTTTTGCATTCGTTGGAAAGGTCTCGGGCTCCGTGAGGTTTATAGCAAAGAAAATTCGGGAAAAGGGGGTAAAACGGGATCCACGCGTACGAAGTCGCGGGCGGCCGCTAGTTATGCATAAAAAAACTCATACTACAAAAATAAGGTTAATTCGATTGAGCAGTTCAGGCTTGTAACCGTGCCTGTTAAAGGACCTTCTTTTTTGAAGTCGGTTAAAAAACTCACCAGTTCCTTCCCCAGATTCCATGGGGTGGCCGAGACCGTAGCGAAAACCGCTACAAACACAACGACGACGAAGAAAATCGTAGTGTATTTCATTTTAACTTTTAATGTATTTACACCTTACGAACTTGCGTTCACTTAAAATGTTCCTTACAAAGTGATACTTGTACCCTTGTCTGTGTGTTTATATACGCAAAAAGCTACTCGACTGCTTAGATGGGTTGGCAAGAATGTTATCTTTTTGAACCTTAATTGCATAGCCTTAAGAGTGTCGATATCAGCCTTAATGCAATGGTACATTGACAGCTGTGCGTGTCGTTGATCGGATAGAGTTATTCCCCATTAAAATTGGCCAATAAAAACGGTATTCTAATTTCAAAATGATAAATATTCAAGTTATGATAAAACGTAAGGAAAAACTAACTTTGCAGTGATTGCTTAAGAGCGTTTACGCCGTTTGGCGCAAAAACAATACTTTTTCAACCCGTTACAATCATTAACTAGTTACATTACAAATATGTTATAGGCATTAATAATTAGGCAATTTCGTCGTCTAAATAGTTAGTTGAGAAAATATTTCGAGTATTTAAGAATTCTATCAAGATAAGTCCACACAGGTTTTCAAATTTCCACTTTAGCGTCAGTTTACAAGCTGATTTTTTTTATAAAAATACTGTGAAAACGATATAACAAACATTTATATCCTATAGCATAGGTCCTTAGGCAAATAGTTAGTTGAGCAAATTCTTAGATTTAAGCATTTTACAATAAGAAATCACAAATTCACAGAACGTGAAATACCCAAAAATCAAAGTGATTTTTACACCATTATTCTTCTTTAATTCAACATAAAAATAGCTTAATATAATAAAATAACATCTTCTTTAATATATTTACTTTGAAACGATATATAATTCATTGTTATTGTTTTGCTATAAACATTTGAAAACTATTAAAAAACGCCGCGCGCGAATCATTTCCAATGATGCCCCTTGAAACGCCGCGCTTCGCATAAACGCTCTTAATCAGTAAGAAAATCAGTGGTAAATATTAAAGTCTTTGTAACGAAGAAATTAGGTCAAACGCTTAACTCAGTCAGGTATGGGAGAGGCACGGGAGGGGTGGCATTGACATTATGACGTCATAGAGCATACAAATCTGAAGTCTCGCTGACATTTTGACATAAACAAAAAGGAGAAGGTTTCTCACAAAAAAAATTGATAACTAACAACAAATTTTTATTTATTTATTTCCAAACTTAAGTCTATTTTTAAAGAAATCCAATAATAGACAGGCGAAATATAACAATATTCTATTAATGCTTTTAGTCTTAGTTTTAACAGTCATCATCATCATCATCATTTCTGCCATACGTCCACTGCGTCCATACATAAGCCTCCCCTAATGATTTCCACAATGGCCGGTTAGTGCCTTCCAGCTACCTTTTTAGGGTTCCGTACCTCAAAAGAAAAAAACGAAACCCTTATAGGATCACTTTGTTGTCCGTCTGTCTGTCTTTCAAGACCCTTTATCTCAAGAACGCGTGAACGTATCAAGCTGAAATTCACATGAAATACTCAGGTCTATTGTCCCTTTAAGCTGTGAAAATATCAAACTTCTAAGCCAAGCCAATCAAAAGATACAGCCGATTATGTCGATATTTTTTACGGCTTTTAACAGTAAAATAAATATACCAACAAGGAAGAATTAGTAGCTTTACTAGGCACAGAAATCATCTACATATTCATAGTTTATGTCACAGTGTATGGCATCGTATTGCTTTGCAAGTTTTATGATTATTGGAAAATAATATTATAACATTACAACGATCGGTAATCTTAAATCGAGTCGTAATGTTACGCAACCCAGCCATACTGGTTTGTTTTTGTAAGTAAAATTTTAGTTTAGTCTAATTTTTAATTCTAAAAGAATACGTACCTATTGGCTATCAGCCTAGGCGCAGGCCACCGATTTTTCGTCGGCCGATAGTTTAGTCGGGCAGTTGATCAGTATGGGCATGTATGGAAGTGCGCACATTACGCCGATTCGATTTGGCCGATTCTTCATACAAATTAAAATCGGGCCCAACTATTGGCCAACTAAAAATCGGTGGTCTGCGCCTAGTCTTAGGATTGTAGAAAGCGCAGCGTTGGACGTCCACCCACAAGGTGAACCGACGACCTCATAAAGGTAGCAGGAAGGCGCTGGATGCCGGCCGCTACCAACCGGTCATGGAAATCATTGCGGGAGGCCTATATTCAGCAGTGGATGTCCTATGGCTGAAATGATGAGGTAGTAAAATTACCCATTTATCCGTCTCTTTGGCCTAGTGGTATGTACTTACGTACACCAGAGGTCCCGGGTTCGATTTCCAGTGGGTACAGATTTTTTGATTGGTGGTAGGGCTTGTTCTAAGTCCGCTTCGGTAGATACCATCCCGGGAACCTGAAAGTCTGTCACTATAACAACAGTGTTAACAGCATTGTTGTGTTCCGGCAGTTGGAGGTAAGATAGCCAGTTTCTCTGTGGTTGAGCCTGATCATCACTTTCCATTTGGTGAGATGCAGGCCAAGAACTTCCTCGTAGTAAATAAGAAAATGTTTTTACTGATAATAGGTAATAAACGTATGGTGAAAACGTCATATAAAATACTTTAGCCGAAGGTGGGCGGCAATATTAGTGATTTAAGCAGAACTCTTTTCAGAATTTCAAGATTGATGTTTGATTATTTTCCATGTAGGTATTATACCTGAGGTCCTAAGTAAATATTTTTCTTTCTTCTTTTTTAATACCTAGGCTTTTCACTCGAAGACCTTTAGAGTGGGCGCACACCGTTGATTTTTAGTTGGCCGATAGTTGTGCCCGATTTCAAATTGTATGAAGAATCGGCCAAATCGAATCGGCGTAGTGTGCGCACTCCCATACATGCCCATACTGATCAACTGCCCGACTAAACTATCGGCCGACGAAAAATCAACGGTGTGCGCCTACTCTAGACGCATTGTGCTTTCACAACCTTTCACGTTTTATGCTGAGTAGTTTGAAAGGTAAATCTTTTCAGTTTTTATAGCTACCTCCATGGCAGCAGACTACGTGAACAAAAGTCACACGAAGCCGTGGAAAGTGCGGTTTTACCCGAAAAGGTCGCTTTTCAGGAAGGCCGATCTGATTGATAAGGGATGTACTGTATTTATCAATGATTGTCCGCGTTCTTACAAGTAAGTTTTAATTCATCAAAAATTTTAACTATTTCTCGCAGCCTTGCACTGTCAGAAAGTTAAGGTTTAGGATGCACGCCGTGATTAGATTTTATCGTGCCATTTTATCGATTTAACGCGACGAGCCTATACATTTGTCATCTACAAGTAAAATCATCAATAATAATGTTATTAAGATTCAGTCAAACCAACGCGATCACACGCGATCAGCCGGAGTGCAGCGATGGCGATCAATGCATTTAAGGCTTGGTATTTCTTCTAAAGTAGGTATTTCGCGCTGTCAAAATCTGCGCGCGCAATTCTTCGCCGAAAACAGNATTATTATACTGTGACTCATCAAAGTCATCATTGTCAAAAATATTGACAAATCGAGAACTGTCACGACCAAAAAACTGGCACGCGTCCGTCCTCCGTAAGCGCCACCGCGCGACTGATTGAGATTGTCCAAGCCGTCATGGGCGATTTTTTCCACATTTTTTAACATAGTAACTAAATAAGACGCAATATAAAAATTTCATCCGTTAAAAGCCCTCAAGTTATTTCTGAACTTTAGTTTAGTAAAAGATTCAGAATCTCAAATCGCTTATCTATACTTATAATAAATCTGTAGAGAGGTCAATTCTGTACATGAAATATATATTCAAAATAACTATCAGGGGGTGATTAGTGATCGATACTGATGCCAAAAATGCAATCAGTAAAATTTTTGTCTGTCTGTCTGTCTGTCTGTCTGTCTGTCTGTTTTTAAAAATAAAACCATTATTAGAAAACGAATAGAGGTAACTTTGGGAATTTATTCTATCGAGTCAACTTCATCAAATCGTGTTTCCATCCGTTAATAGCCCTAGAAAATATCCTCACCTATGCCCAAAAAAAATCTTAGCCTTTTATTTTACTGTTTAGTACCTCAAAAATGAAAAATGAAAACCTCATTTTCGCCATTTTCTCTGTTACCCGGCCTTAAGTAGTAATATTTAACCTTTAGCCCGGCAGATTTCATGTACGAGGGAAATAATTAGAAAATGGGTATTTTACACCATTTATCAATAAATTCATTTTGATTTTACACTAAAATTTATTTAATTTTAATTTTTTAGGCAAAACCACATCTGCGCAAGGCATTACGACGGCCAATACAAAACATTCAACAACTACTGCGAAATGGAGTTTGAGAACTGCAATAGTTGGAGAAGTAAGTCATCGCCATCATCATCATCATCAACTGGTCATTTAGTCTCACTGCAGGAACACGACCCTCTCCAATTTAGCATAGTCAAATGGAGGATTTGACTACCTCATGAAGGTAGCAGGAAGGCGCTGGATGCAGGCCGCTACCAACTGGGCGATGTGGAAGTCATTGGGGGAGGCATATGTTCAGCAGTGGACGTCCTGTGGCTGAAATGATGATGATGATGAAATGGAGGGTTTGATTTGTTCCCACGCTGGCCAGAAGGGTTAGGGAGGCAAACTTTTTTTAATAATTTCAAATACATAGGTACATTATTATTATCTAAGTATGAAAACCACAGAACAACTATTGATCTTCTTTTGTTTTCTTTTTTTCAGAATGGAGTATGGTCAAAAGGGAAAGATGCTAACATTATTTTAATCCATTCAACTTTATTGATTTTTTTCATGTTTTACAAAAAAATATAATATTTTGCTAATTACAAGATGATCAATGGTATTTATCATAAAAAAAACTTTTTATTGAGTTTGTATGGTGAATTTTATTTATTTTGTACCCATGATTTCGTAACAGTCCCATGTATATTATTTATTATGGCCATTCAGTTGATTGGTAGGACTGTCATTATTTAGCATAACACTGGCAGCTGAGAAAATATTCATGCCATGTCAAAGTAAATAAAAATAAATCTGTCAAATCACTTTGCGCGGGAAAGTAAGAACTAATTTTCTCTTCCACCCATTAGTTAGTAAACTCATTTATTGTCATTATGGCATAATGAATACACAAGCCATTTGTAACCGTAATAGCAGTGACCAACGCTTATTATTCCTTAATTCTGTAATTAATGTCATTTTCTTGGCCAATGTTTATACAGGTGCTGAAAATTTAATGAAAACTATTAATAAAAAAAGTAAATTAAAATAGGAATGTTTTGCGAGTCATACATTATCAATTTGTCTGTTGTAAAAAACCTATTTGCAGAAAGTAAATAAATGTTCTTTTTAATCAATAACATGTCAAAGAATTAAAATTTAACAGATTTAATTATTGTTTTGCACTAAAAATTTTAGGTTCATATAATTGTATCAAATCATTAATTATTTTAGCTGGCCGATAGTTGGGTCGAGCTGTTCATCAGTATTGAGATATTGTAAAAAGTGCGCACATTACACCGATTTGTTATTGGCCGATTCTTCATACAAATTAAAATCGGGCCCAACTATTAGGCTAACTAAAAGTCGGTGGTCTGCTCCTAGGCTAAAAAAAGTTGATTTAAACTGGCCAGTCAAAACCGAAGACAAAAAATTGGTATCCTTCCGTTTGGCCAAATTACTTTTCGCCAAATTTCACTTCGCAAACAACTTATCGCCAAAGTTTCATTTCCCAAATGAACTTTTAGCAACTGTACTTTTCGCAACTAATTCATTTGGTCAAATTATCATTTGGCCAAATTTTACTTGGCAAATGTTTATATAGCAAATGTTTTATGTTGCCAAATATTATATCCCAAATAATTTGTTTGGTCAAATTGACACTTCACATACTTACCCACCGTTACCCACAAATCAAAGTATAAGGCACATGATCATGATTCTCACATTTCTCACATGGTTTTCACAAGAATTTTATGTAAAACATTGCAGGAAATAATATGTAGATATGGTTGCAAAAAGTAGGTAGGTATTACAGAAAAAAGTAGGTTAGGTTAGGTTAGAACAGTGACCCTTAATGCGCGAAGGCGAGCGAAGCGTGCCGCGGCAGCGGCCGCCGAGCGCTAGAATCACCTCTATTGTTACTTAATGAATCGTTTGGAAATTTCGATAAAAAGAATGAAATAAGGAAATTAATGTAGAACAAATTTTATATTAACTACCCACTAAACAAAATAATAACCACAAGCTAATTTGTATCCATTCTATGCACCAATCAAATTATTTTGTAAATAGTTTATCGTGAAATATTTTAGCCTAATGAAACATTTGGCAAACCATACTTTGCCAAACAATAATTTGCTTAACAATAATATGCCAAAAACAACATTTGCGAATTAAAAGTTTGCAATAAGTTGCTTTGCCAAATGAGAATTTGCCAAATGAAAATTTGCGAAACGTTGTTTGCGATGTGATAATGTGGGAAACGTTTTTTGGCCAAACATTAGTAATCCCAAAAAATTCGTACCTATCGTACATTATTCAAATTTGAATTCGAAAAATCGAACGCACGTTCAATTTTATTAGCTGTCAGAAACAAATGACTCACGATATATTTTTTGAACGTTTGCGATTCTCCTGCCAGTGTAATATCGGCTTTATGCCTTTAAAGATAAAGTATTGACCTGATGTCATGAACTTGCAACTGCGCGATAAAGAGTTCAAGAGGTTGTGAGGGACTCCCGCTTGTTAATCCCCTCCTGAGGGAAAACCACACATTATTATTAATATTATTGCTTTTAAATATTCATTGATAACGGAAGTGCAGTGGCCAATTAATTTACCGTTCTAATTATAATAAGACAAAGCTTGTGACTAATTTCATAATTGTGACTCTACCTACGTCTGTCATAGTTCCATGATGAGCCGATTTTGAATAGAGACGTGTTAGGAGCTTTTAGGACGCAGGAGAATCAAAGTGACCGACATAGCCCGCAGAATTGCTAAAATCAAGTGACAGTGGGCGGGACACATAGCTCGCAGAGCTGATGGCTGTTAGTGCAGAAAAGTTCTCGAGTGGCGACCATGGGCTGGAAGAAGTAGTGAGGGATAGGTCCACTAGGTGGACCGACGATCTGGTGAAGGTCGCGGGAGGTGCCTGGATGCGGGCGGCGCAGGACCGGTCTTTGTGGAAATTAAATCTTTGGGGGAGGCCTTTGTCCAGCAGTGGACGTCATTTGGCTCAGACGAACTATTAGTTTTTACGTTAATGCTAGAATTATTTGTGGATGAACAATAAAAAGTGTGTTTTATTAATCTCAGTGTAGTAAAAACTGCAGGAAAATAGTTACAGTTTTTTCTTGTTTTGCAAAAAATATGTGTGCCTGACATTTGTCATAGACAAATGATAGGGTTATAAAATACAAATTGCATTTCTGTTGACTTATTTCACAAATTAATGCTATAAAAAGATAGTGTGTGTCAATGTATGTATAGGCATAGAGTTCACTATTTTAGTAATAGTACAACATAGTTTTGAGATGTTATTCATCATAGTGCAAGTTCTACTAAATCTTCAGTTCTTACGTTGTGACCATATAATTGGAAGACGTAGTTTAGGCAGGCCTCCTACATAGTGGACATACGATCTTATGAAGGTCGCGGGAAGCACCTAATATAGCTGGGACCGGTCGTTGTGCCTTTGGCCAGCAGTGGACGTCTTTTGCTTGAAACAAACCAGTTACACTTCATAATAACTTACCTGGTATTCTACTTAACCAAAACAAATCGACTATAGTAGTAAAGAGTATGACGACAGCCTTAGAATTTGCTAAAAGAATGTCTTCATAATGAGTCACCATTTCGAAAAAATACTGAAATGCAATTTAAATATTTAAATTGTTTTTCTTTGTATCTCCGAGGGGAAGAACTCACTCACACGTTGGTACTGGCATATTTTCCTGTCCTTAACCACCTTGAAATAAAGTTCACAATACCTGACTTTATTACGTCGATAATGGTAGTGTTTCTAGTATATAAACTTGGTGCAAGTAGGTTCAAGCATCATACGCTTTTGAGCATTCTTCAAGAACACAACCAGAAGAAGAATAAAGAGTAAAAATGAAATTCTCAAAGGTTTTCTTCGTTTTCTTCGCATTCGTGGCTGCGTTTGCGACCGTCACCGCTTCGCCATTCAACTTAGGGAAGGAACTGGTAAGTGATTATAAACCTTACAATGATTCCCTTAAAGTTTAATTTTACGCGGTAACGTAGAGCTGTCAGAAGAATTTTTTTTCTATTTGCGATCGCTAGTTTGAATTACTGGCCAGTAGCAGCGCCTACTCGCTAGTGGCGGCAACTAGTCATAGATTAAAAAGAGTATTTCGAACGCCTAGTTTTTACCCATAGTTAAAATAAGCAATTGTCAAATTTTATATTCAATGTTTAATATTAACATCATATTGTAATCTAATATTAAAAATTGTACTAAAAGTCAATCTCTAAAACACAATTTTACTGATATTAATTTAACCTCTGTCATTAAACAGAATTGGTTATTTTAACTATGGATCATGAAACTGGGCCTTACATTGCCGCGAAAACGAATTTAGAAAATAAACAAAAGAAAGCCCAGCCTTTATGTTTTCTTTACCAAAGAGCTGGCCAGTTTAAATCTGTTTAAAAAGTAATATTAATATCAATCAACAAAAACGCCCATCCTTCGATTTTCAAATTTCAAACAAAACTTTTTTTTAAGTACTCACCAAAGACCATAGCCACTCAATGGCCAGTTTGTTTTATAATAAAAGAAATTAACATAAATTATTGTTTTTCTTTACAGGAAGGAATCGGCCAAAGAGTCAGAGACAGCATCATCAGTGCCCGACCGGCTGTTGACACCATCTTGGAAGCCCAGAAGATTTTCAAGGGAGGCGACAAAGACTGAACGAAATGATGTCATAATTTAAAGATCATTTTTTATACCTAAGTTTGTTTTACAACATAAAACGTTACGTACGTTCGAGGAAAAACTCATTAGATTATATTCATGTAAATTATGTAAATTAGCAAAAGAGAATTTCAAATTACCTTTTCTTGGAACTCGGATTCTGTGATATAATAAATGTTTATTTTAAAGTATTTAGTTGTGTCTATTTTCATTTTCACAGTCAGCACATTTCCTAAATAATTTTGAACTTAGAATTAGAGTTAGAAGGATCATAATCATCTGTACAATTTACTTATTTAAGGTTTCATGCCATACAAATTAGTGCCTATCTACATAAATTGAACTTAATGCCACGAGGCATTCTCTGCCAGTTACAAATTACTTGCAACGTTATTTTAGCTGTAGACAAGTAAATTATTTTTATTCATTGAGTTGTAGTTAACCCGGCGAGCGTAAGGTTGGGTGTGACACACCCAGACCTTGAAAAATCGATTAATATTTTAATAATGAATTGTTGTTATGCTTCGTGCGCTTGAGTAGCTGCGCGGAGGGACATACGGAAGCGTCCCTTGCCACTGTTTCAGGCGACCGCCGCCCGGGGTATGCTGAGGACGAGGTTGAAGCAGTCCGCGGGTGCGTGACACCCGCCTTACGCTACTTGTAACGAATTTCATCAAACACATTTTATTTTATTTTTATTATTTTATGGATTTTATTGGTTTTTCTTCAGGCTAAAGATCTAGAATGTCTTAAGAAGATAATCAAATAGATTATCAGGTCTTTTCAAACAAACTGAAGTCAGTTCTTCCGACAAGTCTGGTAGTGACCAAAATATTGATAATGTCAACGAAAGAAATTTTGAAAGTGACAGGAGTAGGAAATGTATGACGAAGGGCAGCATGAAGGATTGATAGAGAATAATGGCGAAGGCAATGGTAGTTATTTGTTGGGAAAACATGGAACAAATTGGTTCACGGTACCAAAAATTCGTCTGTAAAAACTGCACAATATCTCAAAACGAATTAAGTATTTTTTATTAGTTTTATTATCCATTTTTAGTGTTATTTTGTTCTTATGTTGAGTCTATTTTAAGAAAAAATAGTCTTTATTGTTTTTGTTTTCATATTTTTGCCAAAAAATCATAAACATGTGCCATTACTAATAATTGTAAGTTCAAATTGTTAATTTTCTTAATTTCTTAAATAAATAACATTGCTAAATTATTTACTGTAATTTGTTTCTTAAATAAGTTCAAAATATAACTAAATATCAGTTTAATATCAAAGAAAATAGATGTTTAAAATAATAGTGTATAATAACCACACAATCACGATCTGGGTGTGCTACACCCACCTAGCGCTTTTTGTTACTTTTTCCAACCTTACGCTCGGCGGGTTAACATTCCATAGTATCGTAATTATTTTCTCAATGAAATTAAGTTGGTAATGTTGGTATACCTAATTTAGTCTAAGAATTATGACAGTTTTTACAATCAATCACTAATTTTTAAGTGGCCCTTATGGTAACATTAGGCACTTTGTTTTCATAGGGGTCACTTAAAAATTAGGGATTGATGGTGAAAACGGGCATTAGACTCTAAACTGAAAGAAAACAGTGTATTTACGCGAGCGAAGTCGCAGGAAAAAACTAGTAACAATCAAAAATGGTTTCTTCTAATCTTTACAGTTGTAATTACAGTCCATTGTACTCTTCTAAGAGCTTTTGAGGGTAGATCTATTGTCCTGTGACTATTACGCGACTCGTTAAGTATCTACCCACCTATTATTATTAGGAAGGATTTTTTGGGAGGCGTTTAAAATGAAACAAAGGATAGAAGAGATTAAAAATCGTTTTAGCAATATTATTAAGTAAATCTTAATACGCAATGTAGACCTCCACGGGCTGGAAGACGTAGCGTGGGCAGGCCTCCTACTAGGTGGACCGACGATCTGGTAAAGGTCGCGGGAAGAGCCTGGATGCGGGCAGCGCAGGACCGTTCATTGTGGAAAACCTTGGGGGAGGCCTTTGTCCAGCAGTGGACGTCATTTGGCTGAAAAGAAAGAAAAGACCTCCCACTTGGTGCACCGACGAGTAAATTCTTCGAAATAACCAATATCACTTACCAAATCATAAGTTAAACAAATAAATAATTAAATATTTGAACTACGATTACCTAGTTGAATTAAAAATCACAAAATCGTCGGCCATTTAGGTTTAATGTGTTGGCGAATCAGGGAATTACAATCCCAATTCCTGGGGAATCGGTACCATGTGGCAACATCGGCCCAATCCGGCCCATCATGGCGGTTGTTTACTATTTTGTTTATTATGCAGTTAATTTCGTTTGAGATTGTTTACAGGAAATAATCATTGTTTTATCACAAGAAATGATGCAAAATTTTGTAGTGCGTGGTTGCGGTAGTACGTGGTGTCCTGGAAGTGACATAAGATTCCACGCGTAAGTGTTTATCTCGTGATTTCCGACATTGGATCATTGTAAACATTTTTCACATTTTTTACAGTAATTTCTTCTTAACGTTTTACCAGTATTTACACTTATCATTTTTAATGATACCTATGTCAAGAAATAAAGATTTTACATTGAGTTTCATTGAATTTGAACAAATTTATATTTTTTATTTATTTAGAAAGAGAGAGTCTGCCCACAGAGAGCGAGATAGTGATACTTAGTTTATACTTCAAGTAGGTATTCGGAGTGTGGCCTCCATTTTTATCTGTAGCTTCATGGTTTAAACTGAGTTACTTTGAAGAGCGCCTGTCAAATTAGTTCCATCGCGTATGCTCAGTTACGCAAGATTGCTTTTAAATAGATGAAGGGTTTTTTTTTATCCACAACTAACGAAGAAACTTGACCTGGAACTCATCTGATGGAAAGTGATGATCAGGTCAGGTGGAAGCGAGCTGCACCCGGAATAGACAGTTATTGCGACAGACTTATGTAAGATGGTGGTAACTAGTCAGGCGAACTTAGAACAAACCCTAACACCAACCAAACCGAGCAGAAAATTTTCTCCCCACTGGAAATTAATCCCAGGATCTCTAGAGATCTGAAGCAGGTGGTCTTACCATTACAACACAGACGTGGTTAACTATTATGCGGATACTTATTAAAACACTGCCTTATTCATCATCATCATCATCATTTCAGCCACAGGACGTCCACTGCTGAACATAGGCCTCTCCCAATGACTTTCACATCACTCGTTTGGTAGCGCTCTGCATCCAGCGCCTTTCTACCTTTATGAGGTCGTCAGTCCATCTTGTGGGTTCGCTATTAAGGTGAAATAAAATTCCAAAAACTATTCATCTTATTTATTTTTAAAACAGTAGCGTTTTAGATTCAGCAGAGCTTGTCACTGTGATAATGCCAATAATCTGAAAAAGATATGATACGGTTAGCTAAAATGATAAACTGGAACGTTTTAACAATGTAATTTGCTATGCAACTTCAGATAGAGGTGAGATACCCAACATTTTAATGCTGGAGTATGTTTCTAGACTATTCATTGATTAGATACTCGTTTCAGTCACCTATGATTAAACACACAAACATTACTATGAGGTCTCACAGTGCGCGTGAACGCACAGGGTGACATACGAATCAATCACAGAGCTCTATTCAACGCTGTGCGTTCGATTTGCTGCTTCACTTAAGCAAGCATCGTTTGTGAATACGGGCGTAAAGGTTTTACCTTCGTTGACAAGATACAAAGAAAAAGAAAAGTGATAGAATTTTAAAAATATCATTATCAATATTAATATCAAAAATCAATTTGCCTTTATTAATTTTGCAGTTGTCATAATTCATTTCGCACAGGCCGAGATACAATTTCTTGGTCCCCTCCCCGTTGATCGCACAAAATGGCCGCTCTCTGAAAATAATGAAAAATTAATTTAAACAATATTCAGGCAAGATGATATTCAGGCTGAGAGACTGTTTGATTACGATAAAAAGTTAAGAAAGTTGAGACACGAGTCCATTGACATACTTCTTTGAGCTGTCAAACAGTGACTTGCAGATTTTGTGTGGAAATCCAAGGGATTGACTTATGAGCTTTTACTCCATTGAAAACTTACTCGGATTTCAGGGCGATTTTGAAGTAGAGGAGAGTTCGGTATATTGTACCGCCGGGTAAATTGTACCACCCTTATATTTTATTTCGTAAAGTATTTATTGAATGTCTGTAATTGCATCACTCAGCGATACACAACTAAAATCAATTAATATCGGCCATGTGGTTTTTGCCGTGACAACAAACACATGTGTTTTATTTTGAAAAGTATTTTTTCATTGTTTTCAAGTAACTTTTGACAATACATGTTAAGTTTGTAATTTTGTTAAATTTAATCACAGGGTGTTTCTAATATATTATTTAGAAGCGTAAATTAGTGTGGATTACAATTATTTGAAACATTTTTGGGTATTTATAAGCTATATTTTTTACCGATTTTTTAAAAGCACTATCACCTAGTCGGCTAAATTGTACCACATCAAGTTGTATGGAACTTTACCAAAGGATTTTGAAATTTTTTTTAGTAAATCATATTTTGAAGATATAATAGCGTAGTTATGTTTGACTAACAATAAATGAAAGCAAAAGACTGGCAAAGTAGATTAGGTACAAGTGTGCGTTACGATAATTGGAATTACAAAACTTGTACTCAAAATCGTGATAACGTGTAAAACAATATCGATTGTCTATGTTATTAACTACTGTTCCTTTTCGTTTCCTAATTTGTTAAGAATGTATCGTATAATATTTTGCCATAGTTTTTTTATAGGCTTGAAATTTATTGGAATCCAATTTAGTAACCCTGTGGTACAAATTATCGAACCGGTTGGCTAAATTGGACCGAAGCTCTGAACTCGTACTTTGTTGATTTGTGCTAAATATACAACAATCATGTTAATTAATACTTATGAAATAGTAAGTTGAATAATGTATCTTTTATTATATACCATGGACATTAGCAAAAACAAAAGAAAACTATGTGTAAAATGGGATTGAAAAAAACTGGTCCAAATAAGCGGACTCTCCCTTATATTTAAAAAGAAGTTGTATCTTAAAATCTTTTATTATTGATGTCAGCTACGGTATTTTTTACATGTGCTAATTGTTGTGTCTTAAGCTCACTTGCACCATCTTACTTTAGCTTTAACAAACGTCAA